CTCTCTCTCTCTCTCTCTCTCTCTCTCTCTCTCTCTCTCTCTCTCTCTCTCTCTCTCTCTCTCATGCGCCCACACACACTTAAAATATTAAAGTGGCATGCATAACCAGTCAGAAACCTCATTCACAAGCTATAAAGACATATTTGCATCTAATTATCTTTTAATTTAAAAAATAACGATTTGGAAATAATAGTTTTGGCATTAGTCAAACTGATATTTTGATCTCAATATGTAAGATTTGATGTTTTTTCTTCCATGAAGAAAGAGATTTCCACTTTACCGGTTAAAATTGTGTCGTCTAAATGTATTAATTATATATTAATATATGGAATATCGATGCAATTATCCAACTGTGGTTGGAATATTACATCGATGTAAGGTTAGAACATTTGTTAGTTATGTAACCATGTCTCTCTCTCTCTCTCTCTCTCTCTCTCTCTCTCTCTCTCTCTCTCTCTCTCTCTCTCTCTCTCTCTCTCTCTCTCTCTCTCTCTCTCTCTCTCTCTCTCTCTCTCTCTCTCTCTCTCTCTCTCTCTCTCTCTGTACAAACGCAACCAACCACTAGATATTCAGTATTTAAGACACCGGCTCATAATACATGTAAAACAGCACAACATAACATTGGAACATAGCGCAAACAGACAACTAATAATATTGTATGCATGTATGTATCAGATCATTTTATACATCGTACAATTCATCGTTTTGGTAAGGAATAAGAAAGAATATATCTAAACTTGTGAAATTATTAGGATTTCCGTTGGAAGTAATATTAGTGCAATTAATTACTTTCCTTATTACTTATTATTACATTTCTCCTGTCAATACGTTTACCAACAGTTTTCTCTTTTATAATATAAACAAATACATGACCAAATATGTTGGGTCTTTTTCTTCTTTCTTTGTACAGTTAGATGTTAACTACCTTTTTAGCTGTTTTCATGCGTATAGCAGGCAGATGATGATAGCGATCAATGTGGCCATTAAATACAGATTGGAGCAAACACGCTCATGTTTCAGCCTCCGCCGATCATGGCTTACTGTGACTGTAAGTTATCGAGGACCGCATTGCCTGGCGGTAAGACTGAATAATAGCAACCACGACTAACTCTGTTTTGTTGGCATCATGGTCTTCATCTTGCTTTGATGAATACAAATTTTGCATACCAAGTACTTATGTAACAGACACGTCTTGAGTGGGTGGGACAAAGCCAACCTTTTCATGCTTCGTTGGCTGAGGTTCTTTACCGCATGTCGCTGTGCTGGCTCTGCCATCGTTACCTACTTCCTTTTTTATTAAAATCGATATTATCACGTCGATTAGCCGAATTACCGCATTAAATGGGTCACATTATTGTCTATGGAATTCAACCCAACACTTTCAGAACATATTTAGTTTTGATTTAGCAACAACAACGATATTATCGACATCCAGCGCGCAGGGGTGTGTTTTCTATCCCAAAAGTTGCAGACCAACATGGTGTCCGACTAAAATTGAACTGTGAGGAGGCTGAAAACTCCTTAAAAAGAGAGACTAAATAGCGGTACGCTCTATGCAAAGGTGTATTACCGTGCACTAAACGCGATAGATCGAGTTGATACCACACTGACGGATTTGTGTCTGAGTACTGATGTGACGGCGATTTGAATACTGTTAACAAAAATTGCTATTCGCATTATGATTGCCTTCGAGATCACGTATTTAAGATATTGTTGGACCAATGTTTCTTAGAATTATCTCAACTCGCGACTATCCATGGAAGCTAAACAGTTCCATAAAATCCTAGTCTTGGGCGAAACAGATCAAAACACAATGACGACACGATGACATCAAAGAACAGAAGCTATCAAGGAGTAGATGAAAATATTCTAGTTGGAAATTCATTAAAAGCTGTGTATTGTTTGAGTAACTGAACTCTCGGAACGACAGCTTGCTGAATATACAAAAGTCTAATTCAGAATGAGTCAGACCAAAATAAGTTGCTAGTGTTCTGTATTTGCTTTTTCTCCTGTTTTAGTACATCTCGTCTTCATCCGATATAGCTTGCAATCAATAGTGGAAACGCGTGAAATAGTAATGTCACTGTCAAATGCCTGCCTTAATGCATAAATTCCAACCAAACATACATCAAGTCTGCCAGAGTCACCAAAGTTTTAAACCAACCAAACATACATCAAGTCTGCCAGAGTCACCAAAGTTTTAAAGGCATCATCAAGGAATCACTCGGTGCACATTTAACTAAAATACTAAGAAATTTGTAATTTTTTATTTTAAAAAAACAACATCAAAACAAAACAAATTTAAACATGGTATGTTGCACTTATATACTCAGTACAATGGTCTAAATGAAGACGCTCACAGGCTATGTTAGATAATTACGACAATGATTTTAAAATCCATGTATTCAGAGCTGAGTCAGCGACGGTTTACAGTTGAACCATGACCAAACAGACAAGCATTCCACGGAATAGTACAATATTTCCTTCTCCATTAACCACCGCTCCGGTGGCTTAATGGTTAAAGCGTCCGCCTCGAATGATGGAGATGGTGGGTTCGATCCCCGGTCGAGTCATACCAAAGACTTATAAAAATGGTACTAAGAGCTTACTCGCTTCGCGCTCAACATTAAGAGGTTAGTGTTAGAACTGGTCGGCCTGGTGTCAGGATGATGAGACTGGGTGGGACATCATGCTACATGTCTGCGGCATGATGCCCCAGTGCTAGACATCACTATAAACTGCCACACTGCAGACATCGTAGCGATATGACTGAAAAATTGTTAAAAACTACATTAAAATCATAGTCACATCACATCACCCAAAAGTGTTGATCCCTTACACGATCTGGAATTATTACGTCCAATTAACGTGTAGTGTCTTAAGAGTTATTCACCATAATCTTAACTCTTTTTATAAAAAAATATTGAAGACATATATGTCACTGGATTCAAACAAGTGTATATCAGACGCGGCGGGAGACATTTTTCTTTAATATCCGGCAAACTTCAGTTTGCAGAAGTTCTGACCAGCACAGTGAAAGTCATCTTGTATGCAGAATTTAAGAATACACTGGAAATTAGCAGTTTGAGAAAAGTAATTATAGACTATAAGAAGCTATGAGATAGGAAAAATCTCTGGACATGGGCTAGGATGATGTCATTGAGCCAGAAACAAAACTACAAAAGAAAAATATATGGAAAATCTGTAGTGATATCAAAATCGACAGAACTAGAACAACATTTAGTCTCTTGTTCTGGTGATGACCTGGCTGAAATGATTATAGATGTGACCCATGATGGTTGTTATGGATTTTGTTATGGATTTCAAAATTCTCATCCCAGTTAGATTTAATACGATATAATGTATGATGATAAGCCAAGGAGAAAAAATGGAATATTATCTGGAAGACTCTTGAAGAAAGTATTGAACAAGTGGTATAAATACTAAAATGGCCATTTCTTGCAACCAATAACATCACTGGAGATCCGACACACTAAAGCTCTCTTGCAACTGAGTACGGAGACGACCCGTAAAGCAACTTATCTGACATTTTCAAAGGAAACGTCAGGTATAAATTGACGCCTCATCATTACATGAGGACAATAAGAATATCTGGAAACTCCACTACCTTGTGACACAGTTCGTACACCGCATCTTGAAATCATATGGTGTGTGATAAAGATAATCTCCTGAATCACAAAACTAAAGACATTCAAGCCAATAAAATTAACACAGCCGACAACATTCATCAACCAGGAACCCATTGTATTTTCTTCATCAAGGTAGTTACATATTGATCGTGAGTACTCTCTATAGAATCATAAAGTAGACATATGGTTTGGGATAATTTTGGTTATATTTTGTCTTTAGCTAAGAAACAGTGTACATCGATGGCAAATAGATTATTGCATCTGAAGTTTGATACCACAACGTCGTCAGCCACGAAAATACGTTCATCCTTAAAATTGTTTAACGGTTCATTTGTATTTGGTTTTCATGAATCGTCTTTTTGTCATTAAAAATGTTGATTCTTGAAAACAAATGTATGTTGTTATTTATTGAAATTGTTTGAATTTGATTTTTCTCCTATGTTTCTATGACTCTGTTTAAATTTTACAGTGACAATGACAAGTCGAAGGGATGTGTCCATCGCACCTGTGTTTTAAGCATATAATTCGGTGAATTTGCCAGTATGGCTACCAATATCCGCATACATCGCAATCAGGTGACAGTTATTCACATACATAAACCCGAAAAGAGCCATCTGACATCAATTCATGCAGACATATATCACTTACAAATAACTTATGCAAAGTCGTGTAAATAATGGTTGATACTTGATTAAAATACACCTTTGAAATAAACAAAACATAAAAATCTAAATTATTATCAGAAATTCACACAACATATTTCGTAAAAAGAAAGATATTCACAGATGAATCATAGTTAAAAAAAACAAACAGAACAGCAGGTGTCCGTTTCATATAAGAAGACAACATTGTACTACTCACCACCCCATATATTCATCGAAGTCATTAAGTGGATACGTGATAACAAAATAGAAAAACCTACTCGTTCTCAGAGACTCAGTGTTCTAAAATCCCTATAATGCAACAACTAGATAGTAGGTTATACCATATAGCAGAAACAAATATTTAAAGGATTTAAACAATATCAATAGTAGAATTTATATAGATACCTTTCCACATAGAGATTTCAGAAGCAGAAAGAGTGTTATCAAAGAGGCTAGATGGAAACTACAATAATCAACATCCAAGAACGTCGAGTACAGTGTACATTAAATATTCATATTCATATTAGACTACAGATTGACATCAAATGGGTAACAATCGGAAACGACAACATCAATGGACGAACATTATATTTAACTCAACCAAAGATCAATCGAAATATCAATAGCCCAAATCTAAGAAACAACCAAGACATAAGAATCATCAACCGAATCAGAACATGAAAGACTTTTGAGAGGCCTCTTTGGAAAATATATCTAGTAACATAGAAAGGAAAACAAACTGCCCACATTGCCTAGAAGTAGAAGATCTGAGTCACATTTTCAACGAATCAATACAATTTTGTATAAGGTCAAGTCCAGCAAACAATGTTACATTACAATAATATGTAATGAAATAAAAACATATTAAAATTAACAGACCAACAATTAAATTACATGTACATTATAAGAGAATTCCACATAATTACCAAGCGTCGGTTTGAGTCAACGACCGTCTTGTAAATTAAGATTAGACGTTATTTAGAGCCAGTAATTATAATATAAATATAATCTGGTCTAAGTCTAAATCAGTACCTCCCCACACGCACAAATAGGAATAAATATAATATAGAATTGTTTCTAGCATCATACAAGGCAAAATTGATTCAAATATAGTAAAATTCAGGTCCATATAATTAGTCGTTATACGGTGGCTACACACCCAAAACCATCAGATCCAGGAACGACAGATGGCGAAAATTTGGAAAAGAAAATTAATACTCTAATCCCCAGGCCTTGTCAAAAAGAAAGATCAGTAGTTTGTCTCTTCCCGGAACTCCACATACAAAGTATTTCTTATCAAACGATAAAACTAACTGCATGGATAATCTATATTGCAAAATTCAACACATTTACAACCAATGAAAGGGAAGCAGCACCTCAGGATAAGCCACTACGGACCGTAGAGTCTTGGCGGTTCTTTTCCTTCCCCCCCAACCATCCCTTGTTAGTCTGGACATAAAAACTAAATAGCGAGCAATGTGCGCATTACAGCGCATGAGCGTAAGCGACGTAAATCAAAATTCGTTCTATATTTAATATGACCAACCATCGATGACTCGTCAACAGCACACAATATGATTTCTAAGAGCAAGACTGAAAGAATCCTATGTGCATTTGCACTGTCATGCAGAACCAGATCCAACACCCTGCCGAATAAAAGAATGCAATGTTCTTGAAAATAGTGCTTGACGTAGTAGAGGATATATTTAATGAAATACTCACGGAGTAGAAAGAAAAGTGGACGTAGAGTCGCAAACAGCAATAAAGGAGAGAGCGGCAACAGCAGGGAGCAGACATATGAATATAGAATGGACACAGTATCAGGTTTTATGCTGTAGTACATTCTGCAATTTGGCGGGTTTGTCCTTCCAGAAGCTAAAGACAATCAGGATGATACACCAAGAAGAAAACAGCATTTTTCAGGACCAAACAAATTGTGTTTGCTTATGTCTTTGTCTTTCCTCCACAAAAAAGTTCTCTTTTCAAATATGTTTTTATTTAAGGGTATATGAGTGTGTCTATTCAAATTTCAACATTTGTTTTATGTGTTTGTGTGTGTGTGTGTTTCTAGGTTAAGTGAATTTATGTTTCTCTTTGTCTTCACCAAGAATCTTCCAATTATCTAATGTGTGTTTTACGGAGTATTGTGTGATTTATGCAAAAAGCAGAAACAGAGCGTCTTATAGGTCCTCGTAATGTTTCCTTTTCATGCATTTTTTCTAGTAGCTGGTGTAGGGGATTTTCTCCTTCACGTCGGTAATTAAGGCACATAATATGGTGCTACCCATGTAAAACTTTCACTCTCATTGTACGACTAACACAAGCAAGGGGATTCATCTTTTGCTGCAAGACAACATCATTAAGTTTTAGAATATATGGGAACTGATACATTCCACAAGGACAATCCGTGCATTAGGATGACGTCGGTGCAGTTCTCATTTCCCTTTTTTATTTTTGCCTCGACCATACATGACCATTGATAAATGTGTGGTGCACACGTAAATGCACGCGTGGGAGTGGCTCTAATAAATTTCCTCTTCCACGATAAATTAACAATTATTACATGCTCGAAAACTATTATAACTGAGATTAGTCAGTCAGTCAGGCAAATGCATTCGACCAGACAAGAAGCATGGAGAAAGAAGGTTGGAGTCCTGATTGAATGTCAAGTACACTTATAGCACGTGAAGCACTGCCTTGATGTAGTTTTGGATCCAGACCGTTAAAGGTATCATAGGAGGAGTATAAAATTGAGAAGGTCAACAAGATCTCTCGACATTCCTGCAAGATGTCGATGCAAGGAAATTGAGGAGATACAAATAGTGTCTCTAATACGATATGTCTGTTCAATGAAACCTATGATATGGGAGTGGGCACAATCTCAAAAGTGATGATCCCACAGACAGAGAACTGGGCTCTGCAACTGACACAGGATCAACGGCATCGAGAACTGCCACTACAACAGCGAACACAACCACTACAACATCAGCATCTACAAACATAGAGCAGAGCTCTGAGGGAAAACAACCGTCGGGCCCTGCAAACGGAGGATTGGGGCTCTGAAGTAACACAGAACCCTCAGAATTTCCAATTGCTATCCATCAATCAATGGGCTAAAATCGATGAAGCAAACTGAGTGTGTTTGGAGTAGGCATTAACGGAGGTGTAACTAGAGAAGAGATAGTGTAGTATTGTATAGCATTGTCTCTATAAATACTTACTAAACTAGCTTGTATGACTGAGTGTGTTTTGTACTCTTAGTGCATGTAAGTCTTTCCT